GGGCTGATATGGAAAAAGCGTCTAGTCGTTCGGATGGGACAATAAACCGAGGCCCCGTGTATTACAGGCTGTGCACGTTAAAGATCCCTGACAGTTGGAAATCGAATAAGAGCAGGCTAATGCCGCTTTCCTGGCATTTCTCTCATTGCACACTGCATGGCGTTTCCCGTCTTCATTAGCCCACATGGTGCAGAAAAGTAGGACGTAAAACTCCATTCATTTAATTTCATTTCATTTTCGTTGGTAAAGGACTGACTAATTTGGCAAAATTATTTTTGGGTCAATTGATTGCAGACAACCCCCCTTTAATAATAGTATGCCTATAGAATGTTCAAGGTTTTATAGTTGTAGAAAAACCGGAAATTACTCAGCAAATTAAAGATGCAGTTTTTTTCTTAAAACTGAATTAAAAACTTCTCACTCGCTTGACAATGAAATGAAATGAATGGAGTTATAATACGTCCTACTTTTCTGCACCTAATTGGGCTTATGAAGACGGGTAACACCATGCAGTGTTCAATGTTCTCGTTTCTAAATTATTTGGCTGTCTCTAAAAACAGATTACTAAATACTTCAAAATATCATCTGCGACGCTCAAGAAGACCCTTGACGTTGGTTCTGCTTCCGGCTCGCGATTTCACTTCAGAGTTTTTAATGTACATGACGTCATTAATATGGCGTCATTATGTATCATGTGCAGTCTAAATTAGTTCAACTGAAAAGAAAATGGATCGAATTTATCTCAGAAGAGGAAATGTCAGATTTATATTTAGGTTTTAAATCTGAATGAAATCGGGTGAATTTTTTGTCGATAAAGTGCATCTTTAAAGGGAATTGGTCGACTAGATACGTGTACAAAGCAACAGTAACATTGATATCAAACGTCTAGTTCGCTTGCAATTCATATCAAGACTACCAAAGACTATAGATCTGTAAGAACGTGGCGTATATTCTAATGATGCTATCAGTGTCCCTTTTAGCAAAGGTAAGAAAACGTATGAACAATCGCGACAATCGTAACTTCGTCTATAAAACGGGAATTTTTTTGCTAGACAAATCAGTAATAGTGTTTACAGCTCACCGTCGAAATTTGAGCCTTCAAATCCATGCGTGTCCAGCAATATACGCGTTTGAAAGCTTTAAATATGTTTTGGGTATTTTTGAAGGAGTTATGCGATTTTTGTACATTTCTAATACTTCTGAAGACTATTCATATATATTCTCAAAATATAGGTCAGAATGCCCTCAGACGCTCTACTAGAGGCTTACGACTATGGTCAAAGTCATTAATGCACATGCGCACTTCTTAGGTAACTCGGTCCAGTGCACTGTTTCTTGTGGGAATCTGCCCAGTTTAAACTAGCACGGTGCCGAGTCCTCTCAACCTGTTGACACTGCCACGTTTCTGCCGAACCGTACTCGACCCCCCCTCTTTTGGGTCAGTCTGTCCCCTAGTTGTAACCACAGTCTCTGAAGGCTTGCGCCGCCACTGCCGATAAGTCTTATGAGTCATCAATAATATAAGTGTCGATTAATGCCAAATTTAGATTTGATCGCATTGTTTCAATTTAATTAGCCAATTTATTTCATTTACATCTGATAGCGAAATTACGAGCGTGACTTCATTAAATTAATGTGCGTTCACCCAGCAATTATAAACGGTTTTCATGTGCCGTGAATCTTGTAGCCTAGTTCATTTATTGCCAGACACTTTCTGTAGGTCCGTAGCACAAAAAAATAAATAAATAAAACCGCCTTAAAAAAAATTCTGGCCACCGACCAATTATTCCATTACTACAACTGAACACCATACACCGTTGTCGTTAAAACATGCATTCTCTTTAAGAGCGTTCACATGCTTGTCGTTGATGTGGATTTTTATTAATACGATTAAATCGACCGAGTTTTTGTTCGATTGACGCAAGTGGGAAGTTTGCCTTATAAAATCAATCAATGAAAACTAGCTTGTAATACATTATTAAACTAGTTCAGTGATTATAATAATGTAAATAGGTTTATTGGCAGGGTTAACTAGTTTCTTTTTATTAAAAGTGACTATTGTATATAAGTTAGCTGTTAGAAAATTTGTTCTCCCATTGTACACAAATCTATAGGTTTTTGCCTTTGCTTTAACTGTGACATTTATTTTGGTTTATGCCAGTGATGGTAGTCTTAAAAGTTATCCTTTGATAAGCGCTTTATATAACATATTTCATCACATTTTATGTAACCATGCACATGACGTCATGATTTAGCACTCTATCCTGTTGCGTTATAACCCTCTTCTATATGTAATATAATTGTATGATAAACAGTTTCTAATATTCAACGTCACACAATCTTAATGACTATGGTGTATTTTGAGGATCAACATTATTCCAAATATCCCTGCACATGACGTCATTAAGCAGCAGTATAACCTACCGAGCTACAGCCCTCGGCTGTATTTTATGTATGTTTCGTTTACGAAAAGCATCGTTTCTTGAACGTATATAATGATTACTTTAAGGAACACCATTGATCTGACGTTATCCTGTGTATGATGTCATATAATAGCACTCTAAACAACTCATCTACAACCCCCCACCATCGGGTAAAAGATTCCCTTTAACCATCTGAACCCAATGATAGTTCAAGTCAATATTTTATATAGTTTGTTGTGTCAATAAGTTACAAAGTTCAGTATAGCTACTTATTATATTTGATAGCAATATTTCGATCCTGCACATGACGTGATATAGCAGCACTCTAAAAAACTGATCTACATCACTCCACCATCGAGCAAAATGTTCCCTTTAATATTTGCTGTGTCAATAGGTTACATGATAATATTTCAATCCTGCACATGACGTCATATAATAGCACTGATCTACTGATCTACATCCCTCCACCATCGAGCAAAAGGTGTCCTTTAATATTTTACATGGTTTGCTGTGTCAATAGGTTACATAATAATATTTTAATCCTGCACATGACGTCATATAACAGCACTCTAAAAAACTAATCTACAACCCACTTCCAATCCATACTTGATAAGAAAGAATTAGAGCGATTACGTCAGCTTCTGATTGGGCTAACGTTATCAGAGTTTTTTCAAAGGGGCTACCCACCACCCCCCCTAACGGGCTGTCATAAAATATTAGCCTCAACGATAAAACATACAAGACTAATTAACTAAAAACAACTTGCCAAATTCTTAAAATAAGATACTAATTTCTATAAGTAAGTTAGTTATGTTACCTTGCCAACATTATTACAGCTTACACAACAAAACAAATCTTATTCAGATTAAAGGGAGACTGTCGTCTAGAAGTCGCCCGAATTGTACGATGTAATATGAATTCAAATAACAGAAATCAAATGACATCAAATGACATCAAATTAAATCAAATTAAATCAGATTAATGTGATCGGATTAATGAAATTAATGAAATCAAATGAAATCAATGAAATCAAATTAATGTAATCAGATTAATGTAATAGGCAGCCGCATTTCACCACTTAAAAATAATATAGATAGCTGAAATTGAACTTTACCAGCTGGTAAATCAAATATTTAGTTGACTATATAGCTTGAAGGTACTCTATGATTCGTATTAAAAATTGGACATGAAAACCATAGAAACATAGATCTTAGTTTTCTAAATATATAATTTTAGTATGATTAACCTGTTGCTATATTGAGCCAAACATTAACTAGTTATCATAAGTATAACCAATAAAAACTAATCTGTGCTAACTAACTCTTTTTCAAGTCAAAGATCAAAGATATGTTGACCCAGGTCAAAGTTCAGGGGTCGTTTGGCTTTGGTCAAAGTTCAAGTTCATTCCGGTACTTCTAGACTAATTGTCCTCAATATTTTGGGCCTTTTTTAGCCTATCTAACAAGCCATTTAAATTGCTTAAATTATTAATTCGTATCATGTTCTTTGCAAATTTCACAATTTGAAACCCTAAAATCAAAAGAATCGAAACGAAACATTAAAAAAAATAATAAGAAGAACGATTAGAAGTTATTTTCTAGCATTAAAGTTTATTTCCATTGCACCAGATTGCAAAGCTGGTATAATTCGGAATTTGATAATTTCGTTTGCTTTTAATTTAACAAACGACAAAAATTACTCATATTTTGACAATAGTCATCAATGGTGGCTCAGTGTCATGGTGTCGCAATCTGGTAGCTGGCTGGTCGCGATAGTGTCGTATGCTTTCCAATTAATATCCCCAAACTTTGCACAATTCTATGTTAAGGGTGGTCATATCCCAGATAACATATTTTTGAAAAAGTGATCAATGGTGGCCCATTGTCATCGTGTCACGAAATGGCATCTCGTTTGTCGCGATAGTGTCGTATGCTTGCCAAATTTATATCTCCGTTATAACTTTAGACAAGTATATGTCAAGTGTGGTCATATCAAAGATAACATATCTAAATGAAATATGGTAAACAATAAAAACCTATAACGTATTTTGGACTACATTTTAGCAACCATCTGTCACAATAGAATTGTCGAGTCAGCATGTTTTTCAACAATAGAGAATAGCCCAAAGGTCATTGTCCTATATAATATGCTGGCAATTTGCATTAAATGCGTTAACACTTGATTGTTCCGAGTCTTTTATAATTATTGTAGGATTTATGACGTCACAAACATAATATTAAATTTAAGGAATGCTATATATTTCGACACATGACGACAATATCAAAGACCTTCATTAAAGGAATTGTACAGAGGTTGTCCAAAAAATTTGTATGTGTATCGGGGACAATTCTAGCATCAATTTGCGCCGTTCAAATTTTCAGTCAGATGGCTATGGTTCTTTGCAATTCCACTAAATCTAAGCGTTTAATGCCGTCCCTAAAGCTGTTGTTGATGTATCAAGGAAGTTTACTTTTGAGGCGTCATAAAATAATCATTTTTAGTGGAAATGTAGAAACCACAGATATCTGATTGAAAATTGGAATTGTGCAAAGCGATGCTGACATTGTACTCTTCACAATGCCTTTAGGAATACGACCGATGAGCCTTATCAGGGTCAGAAAATTATGACATGAAACTCTATTCAATTTACTTTATTCCCAAACCTATATCTTAACGGCTGTTTTTTTTCCATTGTAGATGTCCAAGAAGGATATAGACAGAGGCTGGGCGTGGGTGGTGCTAGCAGCAGCTGGTACTAGTATGGGTATATGTTCCATGGCCACCGCGTCCATTGGAATTTTCCAAGTGGAGTTCCTACAGTCTTTCAAAGAATCCAGAAGAATGATCTCCTTGATCTGTTCCCTCCACACTGGATTTCAACTCTTTGTGGGTAAGTGTCCAACCAGGTCCGTAGCTACGGGGGGACAATGTCAACTCCAAGCTACTCCCGTACAAATGGATTCTCAAAGCTACAGAGCACCGTTCTGAACATTATGGCAAGTTTCTGTGACCAGACTGCACTAACGGTATTCCACAAAATGTATGATGCAATGAAATGATAAGAGATGTCATAGATAAGATTAGTTCAAAATTTTGCTGACAAGAAATAAGCCGCTGACAGATGTCGGCCGGACTTTAAGTCGAAGTTATACTTCATGGTGATTTTCCGAGACGGAATTAGATCTCATTTTGAATAAAGTAAAGGGACATTGATTCAAAATTTGCCGTCTCTTTGGAGTTTGGTTAACGTTTCATAACATTGAAAGAGGCATCAAGGGGTATACGAGAAGAATTTTTGTAGCCCTTGATATATAAGGTGTACGTTATTGAGTTATCGAGGCTTAAATGTCGCCAAATTATGCGTCCTCACTAAATCCAGAAGTATACAATACAGCATCTTCACGATTTCATGCTATTACGAACTTCGTCTTATACCTTGGCTGTAATAGCCATCTTTCCTGCATCACGAAAGTCACGGAATGCAGTGAATTGATTGGATTGTACGCTAGCGAATACAGTCAATCAGAGCCATCGACGGAAAGACTGTAAACAAAAAGCCATAATGAATATAGTCTATCTTTGGAGAGCTATATGATTGGCTGCATTCGAGGGAGTGCAATCCAATCAAATCGCCGAATTCCATGATACAAAAAGGTGACCGTTGCAGTCAAGATATAGAGCGAAAGTCGTAATGGCTTGACACTGTGAAGATAACAATACAGTTTCTCCCGTTTTACGTATCCAACATTATGTCAACAATAACTATCAGGGGTTAGATAAAGAGTCAGCAAAGTTTAGACTGTGATTAGATAAGTATCGTTCGATTTATTGTGTATCTTGTGTAGTCAGTAAAACAGCTGATCCAGGTCATATCAACTGAAGGTAATTTACATGAGACCGACATGAAATGGAGTTTTACACCCGTCTTGTTTGCCCCTTTTTGACATATAACCACGACGTGACAAATGGTACACGCCCAGTCTGGGGGCTAGTTCAACATGTGTGGGGTTAATGTAATCGATCATAGCCATACAGTGTGCCATGGGGGACATTTTTAAGGGCCCGACCTTACAACAGATAGAATCGGCAGCTGGAGTGCCGGTGGGATTATAAAGAGGTTTTCAAAACTTTTTATGTGTATCGGGGACACTTATAGCATCAATTTACATCATTCCAATTTACAATCAGACGTCTGTGGGTTCCTGCTTATTATATCTAAGGTACATTGCAATGATTTGGAAACCTCTTTACAATCCCTTTATTTATCTATTTTACAGGTCCAGTAGCAAGTATCATCTGCAATACGTTCTCCATACGAACTGGTGCCATGGTTGGTGCCTGTATGTTATCGTTTGGTTTTCTCTTGTCTTCCATCTCGACAACCTTTATGGAATTACTGCTGTTTTATGGTATCATCGCGGGTAAGTACGGTCATTTTCTGACCCTGTTCAATGATCTAGCGTTCTTTGTGTTACTCTTGTTTCCAACTTACCATTTAAAGATGGGTTCACTTATTTCATTGG